AGCAAATAGTAGTTGTAGCAGTAGTTTTAATTATAATAGTAATAACAATAATAATAATAATAATAATAAAATAAAAGCAATTCTAATAATAATATCAATCATTATAATTACCATAATAATGATGATGATAACAATAATACCAACAATGATAATAAAAGTAGTAGTAGTAGTAGTAGTAGAATTGGAAGTAGTAGTAGTAGTATTAGTAACAGCAGGGGTACAGAAGTAGCACAGTAGAAGTAGAAGTAGTGGTAGTAGTAAGATGACGACGACGATGATTATAATAATAATAATTATTATAATAATAATGATAATAATTATAATAATAATAATTACTACTACTACTACTACTACTACTAACAATGATAATAACAACAACAAAAACAATAACAGTATTAGTGAGAAAAGAAATAAACACGACAATAATAATAATAAAAAATAATGATACTACTACTACTAACAAAATCAAGTTATGATAATAATAATGATAATGAAAAAGAAAATACATATTTGTAATAATCATAATAATTATTATTATTATCACCATTATAATAATAGTAATGATTATAATAAATAATAGTAACAAATCAACTCTGTATTCCTATTTCTACAATGTGTTATCCTATATATTTATGTTAAAAACGACTTTGAAAAAAAAACTTCTAACATTTACAGAAAAAAACTGCAAAACTGTATTTATACAATGCCTTCATCAAAATATCTACTTCTTCTACATCAGTGATTTTAATGTATCTGAAACAGTACACTAAACTGCCATTTTTTAAAAGTAAGGTGAACATGCACACACTTTAGATCAGTCTAACCATCTCACTTTGAATTATTTAGATTACAGTGCTAACATAAAGTCCTAAAAAACTACATCATCATTTGCGTAAATTTGTGGAAATAAATGCAAACATAATCAATTAACATGTACTGATTTTACAACTGCAGGTACAAATACTTCAAGAGTTCGACTGACTACATAAATTTTCATTCAAAGTATGAGAGATGCCTCTTACTACCCTCATTAGTAATAGCTTATACAATCATCAATAATTACATATCTATAAAAGGTTTATATTTTTCAATGGTTATATATTTCTGAAAAGAATATCAGATGATGAAAATGAAAAGTGGTTCCTAGACAAATGTAATATAATTTAGTTTATAGCTTCATATTAACTGTAAGAAATCAGTAAATCTATTATCTTAGTTTTTCCTTTTCAAATTACCTAGGAGAGCTCTATGATATAATAAGGACAATATTCCTGCTTGTCATATTTTACAAAGACCTTTGGGGAATTTACATTATCTACTGTAGTGTCATAAAGTTCTCCTGTAGTTGGATTCTTTGGAGGCCTTTTCATGGATGGATCCCCTTTAGCTATCTGTCCAATAATAACTTCAGCTACCATGAGAAATCGATGTCCAAAGGCATCTGGAGTGCTATAACCATGAGCAAAGGCAGCGCTGAAAATAGATTGAAATATTGTCAATATGGAATGGCTGTATATAGCATGAAATTCTTTTAACATTTAATCAACTAAATACAAATATAATATTAGTTAGTCAAAACATCAATTAAAAATGACATAATAAAAAGAAAGAAAAGAAGAGTAGGAATGGGGGTACACTGGAAAGTGAAAGGAAAAAAGAGGACATATGGGAAAATCAAAGAGGAGAAAAAAAAGGAAAACAAAGAGAGAAAGAGAGAGAGGGGGGGGATTGATACAGAGAGAGAGG